GGGATATCTGATATGGTTTGCATTATTTGCAAAATGTTAAATATGTTGTTGAATAAAATATGTTCAAAGCAATAAGGCAATGCAACATGCAACATATCTAAGCTTTAGACATTTTAGTTTCATCTAATAAAACTTAAATGTGTTTCCTGTATAAGTATATGTATACAAATCAAGTGATTCATTTGGCAGGGCCAATTTTGATTTCAACGCTCTGTTGCACATCGGCTTTTTATATTAATTTTGTCTGCCAAAATGGTTTATGTTTCTTTTTATCTGTTCAAAAGATACAGGGATTATAAAAGAAACGATACAGGGATGATAAAAGAAAAGATACAGGGATGATAAAAGAAAAGATACAGGGATGATAAAAGAAAAGATACAGGGATGATATAAGAAAGATTCAGGGACGATATAAGAAAAGATACAGGGATGATAAAAGAAGATCAACTTCTGTATAACGAGGCTAAGTTATCACACTAATAATTATGTTGCTGTCGTTTTTATCCTCATACTACTTTAAAACGCTTTATTGTAATTAAATGAGGTTTTCAATGGCTAACTATAACGGTTCGTTTCATGCCATTTTCGTGTTAAAATGACCAAGATAGATCAAATCTAAATAGATGTCGTAATATAGTACACTAGCCAATTTACTGATCACTTTTTACAATGGTTAACAAGCCTGAAATTCGAAGCATTAAATGTCGCTTAAGGCTTCATATAGCTAACTATATCAGATACCCCCGAAAGTGTGCCAAATATGTTTAAATAAGCAGTTTTGTAAGCATTTACTTTAATGATGCATGAATGCGATCCTACTATAAAGTGCGTGCCGATAATGGTAAACGATTCTCAGTGGGATATCATAGTAACGTATCTGTTTATGCAGTTTAAAGTATAATCCAAATTGCCTCAACATTGCGAATTTATTGTGGTTCTGGCATATACATTGTAGCTAAAAAGATTTTTTATACATGTAATGAAATATAATAAAACTTGAGTTAAATAGCTAACTATCTTACGTTACGAATTCACATTACTCTTACGTAGGCTTACCTGAAATGTGGTTACGTATCAGCTCAATATATGAGGGACAGCCAATTTGCTTAAAAGGGGTACTAACTCTATCAATGCTATGTAGGTTAAAGTGGAGATCGAATTTAATCTGTCAATCATCATTTGATTGCAGCTACAATCGATCTTAAGCTGTATCTTGATATAATGTACTAACCTGCTAAATATAAACACATTTGTTAAAATCCTTCGAAAAGTACCCTGCAAAATTCAATTGTTTCACAAAAACTACTTTGTCTTGATAAAACATACATACATACTTTTTACTTATTTGAAAAAAATACTGGAAACCGTATCTTTATATCTACTTATAAAGAAAATATAAAGAAAGAAACAAACAAGCGTCATTTAAACTAGCATTTGGAGAAGAAAAAAATCTCTTACTATTGACGCCGAATTAACAACTTTACTTTTATATTTTCAGAATCATGTGTTAATTAATCATTGCTATCAATGAAATACAATTATAATTTTTATAGTATCACCTTGTTTTTCGTGAGAATTCCCAACTATCAACAAGAAAGATGTTGGTTATTCGAACTTAACATGTTCTCCCTTCATAACAGAAAATACATTTGTGGAATAAATGTAAAAGATATATAACAAGAAACATGTTATCTCCAACATAGAAAGTATTAATCTATCGTGTCATATTATCTGATATTTTTGTTCTTCAAAATTACGTTGTGCGTTGATAAAAATACATGTTATGTTAAAAAAACTAACTAACTTCTGTTTCGTAGGTGGTGATTCACGCTAATAACCAACGGAGACCCCTGGTCTACGGAGGGAGACGGGGTGATACCATTTTGTAGAATTCATCTACCTTGTCTGTATTTGTCCGAATAAATAAGAGCCGGTCGAACTGTGTGATGCTCTCCGAAAAGCTTTTACGGTTTAGAGTTACGGTTATAATGCATTGCAATTCTACTAAATGAGATGTATATACCTACACATTTTTTTTGTTTGTACCTCACTATGTCCTGTTCAAATTGTAAGTTTGTAACGATAAAGAAGGGCAATTACTCCAAAATTAGGTAAAACAACGTTACTTTTTTTTTCACTACACATTAACCAAATGCGATATATCTACCCTCTGAATTTCTTGTTGATACATCATTTATTTACTGTTTCCCGGACAAAGTTCAAAGTGTAACAAAGAACAAAGAGCAATTATTTTAAAATTAGGTAAGGCAGAGTTACGGTTCTTTTGCGCTGCATTTCTACTGTCTAGTACAAGAAAAGCAGACGGACGGACATAAGGACAAAGAGGCGACTTAATGTTCTCCTTTCAGGCTTATTTTGATATATCCGACTACATAACTAAGATAAAATGTCCAAGTTCAAAATAAACGTTTGCAAAATTACTTTCGTTGTCTTATCAACATTTTAGTGAAATTTGTAGACACAGAAACATTGATAATACCACTTTTATGAGTGTAATTGCATAAGAGATGAATTTCACTATGTAATATTATGTTCAACTTATACTACATTGAGATTGCAATGCATTCAACGACATTTTAATACACGCCCAAGTATGTTAAAATCTCATGAATTGTTACAATATACAAATGTAAATAAGCAAAGTTTGTAAAACGGCATTTGATATCCGAATTAATTAATTTAATCTTTGATATATAACATAGACCATTATTTATGTATAAGAGTTTATTCAGACATATTTTAAAGAAAAGTATCATGGAATTAAAATAGCAAAATGTATTCATTTAATTCTTTATTTTGATGGATTTAGACAATCAGCCCATACACCAGTAATGTTATCAATAAACACATAAACATACATATACTATATTCCTGGATTTTATTTCGTGATTCTAAAATTAGATATAACTGCAAAAAAAGTCGAATGTAACAAACAAAACCTCGAACATTTGTAGCTTCAACCACTTAGATGCACGTTGGTGTAGTATGCATAACATATACATGAACAATGCCAAAATAATACATTTTTAAAATTTAAAGTTCCCTTTAAAATCGGTCATGCTGTTTGAAAGTATCGATTATTTTATTATTTTTTGCAGATAAGAGAAAAACATTTAATTCATATTATTTACAGTTTGCATACTTCGAATGAATGTTATGGAGATTGTTAAAAAAATTAGAAGACTATAAATGTACATCGGTAATTGAAAATATGTGTGACGATTATTATCAATTAAAAATGCTTACTTTTTAACAAGTATAAGCAAAGTCGAATTCATGTGAACATGTAGACATTCTGCACTTTTTGTTCCTATAACCATAATTAAATTACGATGGTGAAAACGCGATGGCACGATGGTACGATTGTGAAAACACGATGGTACGATGGTGAAATCACGATGGTACGATGGTGAAATCGCGATGGCGCGATAGTACGATGGTGAAAACGCGATGTTACATCGCGTTTTCACCATCGTACCATCGTGATTTCACCATCGTGCCATCGCGTTTTCACCATCGTACCATCGCACCATCGCGCTATCGTGTTTTCACCATCGTGCCATAGCGCTTTCACCATCGTACCATCGCGATTTCACCATCGTACCATCGCGATTTCACCATCGTACCATCGCGATTTCACCATCGTACCATCGCGTTTTCACCATCGTACCATCGCGTTTTCACCATCGTGCCATCGCCTTCTGGTGGACATGCGCATTGTACATCTTTATCAACAATGGATGAATGCATAACTATGTATTATGTGAGAGGCTATACGTAGCGAGATATTTTAAATATAGTGAGGCTTAAAACGGGATTTGATCTCAGCACAGATTATTTAATAAGTGTTGTGTATTCAGATTCAATCATTATAAAACCTTTATGCACTGTGCTTAATAAATCTTGCTTAGATATCTATAACACAATTTTTTAAGGTTCTATATCATAAATATGATGCTCAAATTAAGATAAGTTCCAAAAAGCATTATTTGTAAAGATGTTACCGAATCTAACATTTCATATACACATTCTAATAGTCTCGGAAATAGAATTATCTTATCCATATGTATGAGCTCTTGATGCATCATTTTCTGGCTCAGTATTTTCTTTAATTTTCCTTTTATTTTCATTTTGTTTTATAATTTACTTTCTAATACCTGAACGTATTGTGATTTTTCATTCTTCCATTCTTCCATATCAAAGCAAGAATAATTGAAAAAAAACAACACATGACAGCTATACCAAAAGACAATTTTGTACCGTTCTAAAGATTTTGTATGTTGTAATTGAGGTTGTACACGGTGGTGGTTGTGGTGATAGTTTTCACTTCCGATCATGACAGTAAGCCACATTGAATTCACAAGAGCACAGTTCAACCACCGCATTTTCCTGGGCAGGCTGTCAAGCAGTCTACCATTACTAGTTGCCTTCACTTTCGCAAGGAACTGGAACTTCTGCAGAGCAGAGACCAGTGTCAATGACCGTAGAAAGGATTTCATGATCAATCACAACGAAAGTGACCTGGACCCGTCGTGGGAATCCAAACCGATCGCCCGATTCACAGTCCAACGCTGTACCTGTTGAGCTAAAACCACACTGCAGTGAAATTATATATATTTATATAATAATGCTTTAATATAAAACAAGTTATAAAAATCGAGAATATGTAAAATATGTACTGCAAATATTTATACATATTATATGTAATCATTTAAATATATGCGTTCATTTCTTATTGAAAAACTTGACTTAGACTTTACAGAAAATAAATTTTTATTACCTCCCTTTATTTACATGAAATGTTAACTTCGGTAACATCTTTACAAATAATGCTTTTTGGAACTTGTCGTAATTTGAGCTTCATATTAATGATATAGAACCTTAAAAAATTTGTGTTATAGATATCTAGACAAGATGAATTAAGTACAGTGCATAAAGGTTTCATAATGATTGAATCTTAATACACAACACTTATTAAATAGTCTGTGCGTTTTAAGCCTCACTATATTTAAAATGTCTCGCTACGTATGTTTAAAGTTCGACAAATAAAGTTTATATTCTGTTATGCTCTGATATAAAAATAAAAAAAAAATAAAAAAAATTTTAACCTAACAATATTCTTATTGAAAACACAATCATAACAGTATACTTGCCAAGTAAAACAATAAAATACAACACACTTCATTCAGCTTTAAACTAACAAAGTTTGTCGCAATAACAATCAACACAAATACATGAGAAAGGGTATATAGTGATGGCAATTCATGATCATAATAACGTATGAAACTTCACTTACAATTATTAGTAGAGCAAAAATAACAGTCAAAATAACGTGTGAGGTTGAATTACAATGATTCATAGAGCAAAAATAGAAATCATAATAACGATGAAACTTCATTTTCATTTTTTTCATAGAGCAAAACGTACAAATCATAATATCGCATGAGGTTGAATAACACTTATTCATACAGTAAAAATAAAAATTATAATAACAATGAGACTTCATTTCCAAATGTTCATAAAGCAAATATAACAATCATAATAACGTATGAGGTGGAATTACAATTTTTCACAAAGCAAAAAATAGAAATGATAATAACAATAAGTCTTCATTTTCAAATGTTCATATAGCAAATATTACAATCATAATAACGCATGAGGTGGAATTACATATTTTCATTGAGCAAAAATAGAAATCATAATAACGATGAGACTAAATTTTCAATTGTTCATAGGGCAAAAAGTACAAATCATAATAACGTATGAGGTTGAATTACACTTGTTCATACAGTAAAAATAGAAATGATAATAACAATGAGACTTCATTTTCAATTCTTCATAGAACAAAGATTACAATCATAATAACGTACAGGGTGGAATTACAATTATTCATAGAGCTATAATTAGAAATCATAATAAGTTAAGACTTCGTTTTAAATTGTTCACAGAGCAAACATTACAATCACAGAAATGTAAGAAATTGAAAATTCAAAAAGCAAAAACTAGAAATGATAATAACGATGACAGGTCATTACCAAAAATGCAAAGAGCAAAATTTACACATCATATATTTGTCATGTGTCATTATTCATCTGCTGTTTTGTATCATAAATATTATACTACTTCCTGCAATATAAACGGTATTCTTGCAAAAGAATCATCTTGTTTAAAAAGCGAAATAGAAAAATGATTCTATTTTTTAGAACACAATGCATACGTCTGGACCAATGTTTGGTATATTGTTCTTACATATCTTTCGTTAAAGCGGCCTTCAGCTGTTATTTTTTGTGGGAATAAAGATTTTGAGTTGTTTCAATGAAGGTATTTCAGTGATCTTACCTTGAAAAGTACATCATATCACTGTTAAGTCTTCTTCAAAACAGCGTCCTGAGAGCTATTTATAACGTGTCAGTGACTTTCAGTTCTTAAAAAAGAAGATCGCGAAACGAATAATCCACTTTTCGTATTTACATATAGAGAGCAGACCAGTAGATTAGAATCATCGAAGTGATTTCTTTTTATTTATATATTTTGTCGACAGCAAATTTTATTATTTACTTTAATTCTTTTCGTGTGACAATTATATGAAACGATTTGTATTGAAATAGCATATTTAATCGTTAGAAAATGTAAAACCGCGTTAAACGAGCAGAAGATTAACTCTTTATTACTCTGTTGATTTGCCCAGAAATGGGATATCGTTACATTCTACCATGGTAATCAGACGTTTTTTCTACTTAAGTCTCTTTTTTCCAAAGTTCATTGATTCGATATTTTTTTCATTTCTTTCATCAGTTTTTCATTTCTTTTATCATACACCAGTACTATTTCCATACATACTTTTATCATCATATTATACAAATAATTACTAAAAATATGAATTTCATAATTAGAGAAATTCATTTGTTTACTAAACTTTAGTGCAACATATATTTAACATATATAATCCCGCAAGACGATATTTTGAGTGATTTCACAGTCATGGGTAAGTCTTTTTATATTCGCTTTTACTTAAAAGACACATAATTCTCAAGACATGCTTTAAGTTTTGTTTCTCAAAAACTTTTTTATTTATGGTGTCTGATACTCAATTGCCATAAAATTGAACTCTCTTTGCTTGTATTGCTTTGTTGGCAATAGGGGTATTTTGTATGAAAGTTAAAATATTATTTTGTTTACATTTTGCTACCTTTACGACCATTTAGCGCTACTTTCCTCAGTTGTAAAACATGTAAAATGCTTTCAATCAATTATGGAACATTATTAAACACATGTTTGACATTACTTAAGAATTTAACATTTATGAATTTCAGAAACATAATTAGTCATGTACAATTTAGTTTTTAAAAACTTCATCAGGGAGAATGTCATTTGTTATTCCACCACTGCAAAACCTTCACAATCAAGGTTAGTTTAAATCCATACCGATACCACTGTCTTTGTCGAACATAGCAACAATTTTGTTTCGACTGTCGAAGTGTGGGTGGTATATATTTACCAATGACGAATGATCAAATGTGACATTTGATCCAATGCCTTGACAATACTTTTCCTCAAGTATTGAATCCCTGTAATCAAATGTTTGCTTAATCGGAGCACATGCACCTGTATGTGTATCTACAGCTGGCCCATTGGTTCTAGATGTTGGATAAAAATCGTTTGCTTCGTCATTAGTTTCAAGATCATCACTTGCTACCGGGCCTTAAAAAATGTTATAAATATATTAAATGCTACCTGAAAAATGACAAAGTAAGCAGATATGTGTCTAAATAAATATCATTGAATCTGTCAAATAATATCACTAGCTGTCCGGTTATTATGAACGTTTTGTATGTTTGTTTGTTTTGGCAAACGGCGACACATTACTGGTCAAACTAAGCCTAAAAGAGTGGATAAAGTGAGTTAATTAGATCTAAGATAATGTGTTAACTTTCTATAAGTAAACGATCAGAGTTTTAGATGGAACTGAGGCAAAACGTTCTCAAAATGAATTGACACAATAATGAATATTCATTAAGGAAATGTTTGAAAGTAAACTATTCCTTGCAAACTATACAAAATGGAGCATCGTCACCTGTTAAAAGGTAAGACTATTTAATTCTAGTATTTCAAATTCTACGTCTAAGAAGAACAACTTTATCATGACAGTTAGGGAAAGATAGAGATGGCGAATACCAGGATTACTATCATGAAGTGTGTTAAATACAGCTTTGTTACGATTCGATGTCCATTGAAATGAAATAATCGTACTTACTTGAGGTTTAAAATGACTATTTGATAATGCTAAAACTAATGGTTAAGAGTATAACGCTTAATGCCGAACCTTAAACAGTAGAACGATAATCAAATTTTTATCTCATGAGATTTTAATATAATTTCAATAAAGTACAGGAATTTAATCCCAAGTCCATACTAGACAAAACCTTTCAGAGATCTTTTAAAGCTTTTAAACATTAAGATTTTTACCTTTCTATATGTGCACTAAAGGAGAGGTTCAAATATAACAACACTTTTGCTTGAACAACAACAACATAAATTTTGCAACCAGATATGTAATGTTTAAGGTTTTTCTCCAAATAATGTGTGCGTATGTGTTTACTTGTGTGTGAGCGAGTGTAAAATGAAACAAGTATCAAAAAAATTACCTGCAAGTAAAGCGTTCTTTTCCTTTTCCTCTAGTGCTATATTTTCCAAAAGGACACGGCGTTCTTTAATGTTTTTATTAATATCTGCAAACATGGAAAACTTTTGCTCCAAGAGGGAGTTTTGGACAGCTAGAGCATTATGTACTTTTTTCAGCTCCTCGTTTTCAGCCATTAATCTTACATTTTCCGAAGCATTAAAAAACTTGACCAAACCATCATCAACATTAGCCAAAGTGTTAGTCAGCTGGCCTTCTGCCCTGTCATCAGATTTATTAGATATGCTTCTTTTATTTTGTTTCAGACAAGCTCCTTGTATTTCATAGTTACACTTTTTGCTTGTTAACGACTGCTTAGGTGGAACTGGGGGTACATACATTTCATATTCCTCATATCCAGACACGCTTTGATTTAAAGAAGTGTCATATTCGGTTGAATTGTCATCAGAGATATTAGATATTCTTCTTTTATTTTGTTTTAGACAGGCTCCTTGTATTTTATAGTCACACAATTTGCTTGACAACGGCGGTCGAGGTGGAACTGGTGGTACATACATTTCATATTCCTCATATCCAGACACGTTTTGAATTGAAAAAGTGTCATATTCGGTTGACTTGGGTGAAGGTGGAATGCTGTACGGAGTGTCTTTTCTTTCGTCGTAGGTGTTTTCATTATCTATCAGTAAAACATTAAAGTTATAAGAGTCCTTATATTGATCAGGCATCAAGGTTAAATATGATTTATTGAAGGACAATTCGTAACTTAAAAATATATAAATATATATATGTATTAGCGATAAAATGACTGAAATGAGACATTTCAACGTCTATATGTTGAATAAAGATTTAGGTTACCTTTTCAAATGCAATGAGAGGTATCTGTTTTTGAAAAAGTGGTGTATATTCATTAAAGGGTGTAAGCTGTATATGCTACATACATTTGAAAAGAATGTCCCCAGTTTGATTTCTCTTTTAAAAACCCCAAAAATAAACGATTGTGATTTTCTTCCCCACTACGATAATGGAAAGTTAAAATATAAAATAAAAAAGAATAAACCCAAATTTAAATTTTTGCTATCTTAGAGTTTTTACAACAATTTTTCAGAATCTTATTAACCCCGAAAAAAACAACGAATACTCAAAAAAAATTTCCCCCTAACCTTAATAAATTTTTAACAATACATTTTTACTTATTCCATTTTTAAAAACTTAATCAAAAAATCAAAAGGAAAATATGTCATGTAATGTCAACAAAAAATAATGCCTAAATTGTCTTAAAACCCAGTTTTTCTTATTTCTATCAAGGTTTTTCACGTAGCAGAAATTTTCATTCTTTTTACCCCCCAACGGAGCCTTGGCAAAGTCCTTTTTTTGCAAAAACAGTTTTACTTTTTTCAAACTTCTTTATTTTGTCTGCCTGATAAATACACTAAAATTATTTAAACTCTTAGGTAAGTCAAATATGGACTAAAGTTATAGAAAATACATGGTTGATGTCGGGATGGAGAAGGTTTATCCGGTGAGCGCGAAAGTGTATCTTGGCGAGCTTTAGCGAGCCAAGATTTACTTTCGCAGCGAACCGGATAAACCTTCTCCATTCCGACATCAACCATGTATTTGATTTATCCTGCTTTTTATCATGTTTTTAGAATAATTAAATGGTTTCATTCTTCTTTTTCCCCGATAAAATATCATCTATATGACGTTTTGTTTTGCTGCTAAACTTGTGACGTCATCATGTGACGTAATGACTGGAGATAGATAAGTTTATCGGGCAAGACTTTATCTAGCTGATGATATAGACAGTGCAGGATAAAATGCCTGATCTAAGTATTCATCAGATATCAATTTTTTTTCGAGCGTGTGATGAAATTATTTTTATTTTAAGATATTTATTAGACTGATGACAAGGTAGTAGTTTTGTTAGAACTATCAGACCTCAGTGTTGAGGATGATTGCTGGCGGCATCCATTTTAGCGTATCACATTGAAGTTGATGAATTTAATTTACAGCCTAAAATCACTATAACCAGCCTACAAACACTTATGCGCATGCTCCGCTTCAAAATACGGCATTAATTGAACGAAAAATGCCAATTACATCTTCGTTACTGTTTCATTCGGTTTATAATCCTTTTTACTGTATAAATTGTTTTGTGAATAGCGATTTCGAAAACATGTACAATAGCTACAATATTGTCGAATTTTATATTAGACAAGGTGTCTTGATTTTAGGATGGTGTATCCGGCCAACATTTCTAAAATATCAATCTGGTATTTTGTTATAAAACAATTGAGTCATAAAAAGTTCAGATCAGTGGTAAAGCTCAGTTATTTTTAAATATTACCATTACTCATTCCAAATTAGGTAAGGTTACGCAGCTAATTGTCGCGTGCCAGTAAAGAATGTGAAAATCGGCTTTCCAAGGCATGCTTGTTCTTATTATGTAAAAAAGAATCTGGAGAAAATGTGATCCTTCGGAAGCATTTACCACACCAAAATTCATCTCGTTTTGATATACGTGAATGATAATGGACAAGAGGTCGAGCAAATTTTAAGTATTATTCTTAGCCCGTCAGCGTCTCCAATGTGGTTGACATAATATCAGATTTTATGAATGAAAAACCATACTGCTTTACGGTATTAAAGATTGCTTGGTTCAAATATGTATCAATCTTGTATACCATAAGTAGTACAAATATATTTACTTTATGCATGAAAGTATACGTTGCACTAATTAGTTGCATTGTGGAATTTTAACATTAAAGTATTTAAGCACTTAAATAGGTTGTGCAAGGGGTCGTGCAGACTGGTTCCCGCAAGTGGGCCAGTCCTCTTTTGCACACCATGGTATCTGCATGTGCCAACAAAGGGTTATATAAACTAGGATTTTTCAATTTGTTGGTTTTTTTTTTTTAGTTTATTGGATTTGAAAGGATGTTGTTGGTGAGTTGAATTGTGTTTAATACATAATTATGATGCATACTTTTAGTTTAATTGATTATATTATCATTCTTTATTTTGAACTTCAAATTCATTATACAATCATAGATTATAAATGATAGACATTTTCAGCAAAAATCTGATAATTAATAAACAGATTTCTGTTTTTAAAAAGAGAAATTTCAATTCTCCAAGCACTATTATATGACCGAGTGAACTGTGTACCGAAACTTTGCTGCTCATTTAACTTTGGAACATCTCAACATTTATTCCTTATTTGAGTGTATCCGGAGACTGACGAAAAAAGCTAATGTGTTGCTTTTGTGCGCAGATGAAATTCGACCAATTAAAATTTCTTCCTTTCCCTCATTTGAACAGGAAAATTTTCAACAGCTGCAAAAAGACCTTTCGCAAACGTGTTTGTTTTATAAATCTGAAATGAAATCTGGACTAACAGAAGTATCAAGGGACAAAATTTTTAAAACATTTTGAGAGTAGCATAATATGTCATATGTTGAAGTTCAGATATCAGTAATTGTCCCGAGGGAACCTGTCCATTGGCAACACTACTGGGTAGTAATATGTGTTTTGTACGACAGATATCGAGCGTCTCTAGATCTTTGTTGTCGCTGGCTTGCCTACTTGTAGGTAATTGGGATAGTCGAGTGCGTACATCTTTCCTGCCAGTACATAGCCTCTACACTACCAAGACTCCTTAAATGCCTCCTCGTGGAAATGCGTAGTAACTGAGGCTAAATATCTTAGGCTAAATTGAAGGAGATCTCGGAGCAGGAAGGGCCCCAGAGATGCAGTGTGTAGGCCCACCGGCGTGTGGATATGCCCTTGCACTCGTCATCCTTACCCCAACTATGGGTCAAATAGCCATACTGCATTGTGGGTGACTTTGGATGGAAGAAAATCCAAACAGAAAATTTTGGGAGATGGACCTTACTGTTGTGGGACCTACAGTCACCTAACTTCTCAATCCTGGAAGAAAACCCGGCCTAGTAGTACGGAGGAAATGCGTGGTGTTTACTGCTCCACCATGTTAAAACAACTTTATATACGGAAATGGCAAACATACAGCCGTGCACAAAAATGATATATAAGTAGGTAAGGCTTGCAACGTTGCCGCCCGTAGGCGGGCACCCAATGGACTGATATTTCGATTCGAACTTCAAACACATTGCATATTCTACCATTTTTCATCAAATTTCAAATGTTTTATCTCAATTAGTATAATGAATACTAATGTGATTTCATCAGTAACTATTTTCGCGGTTCATTCATAAAATGCGATAAAATGACGTCATCGTATAGAACGCATCTGGCACCCTATCCCAGAAGATTGTCCAGGCTTGGGTAAAACCAACGGAAACACCAATATGATATTAAAATATATTGTTTTACACTTAAATGTATGAATAACTACATTATAAATACTATTTATGAACATTTCACACGGTTTTAATATTCAATTTTAATTCTGAGATGCCTCCTTATTATGTTTTTTTATAATAATATTATTAATATTTTACTTGGGGATATCATATTAAAGTTTAGATTTTTATAGAAAAGGAAATCAAAATAATTGTAAAAACTCATAAAAAAGCACGAAACTGAGGTAATATAAATGTTTGGCTAATTGATTATGCAGATAGGGGGATGCTTTGATTCATTAAGTTAAAATGTATAAAGGAAGTAAAATAGTATTTAATTATAAAAACACGATAATACTTTATTTTATACACAGCAGTGAAATATATTAAATGCTTAGACCAAGATGATGGCAAATATAAAGATGTAATTACACTTACAGAATTCGAAGTCCTTTGTCCTTTTGCTTTCTAACAATTCTGGTATTTCTAGGCATTTTACAACATCGTTCATTCCTGCTTCATTTAGGGCTTCAATAAATAGCAGGTACCAATTGCGATGCTTACGGTGGATTCTGTTGAGTAGTAAAACTGCGGCTGCAAAGTTACCATGGTTGACATCTTCTCTTTTAATATTTTCTTTGTCACTTTCACTGATTACTTCTTTTGCCGAAACAAGAGGAAGAATTTCGCATACTGTTATCATGTAGCCAATTTTAGGAGTAATGTTTTTTATGTACTGTTTTTGATAATCATGGTTGATAAACTTGTAACCCCTAATGTTATCGACGATGTATGAGTACCCTGTATTAATGAAGAAAGCTTTGACGTAAGTAAAGAAAAGTCAACAAATTATTTTCAACTATGTTAACAGTCTTTAAAGAAACTTCACTTAAGCCCAAATGCCTTAAAACATAACATTTTAATTTCTTACATTGATTATCATATCTTACATAGATCATTTGTGAAGTTAAAGAAGAAGTCGAAAGATAAGCATACAACATAGACATAAATTGAAAAAAGTGTTTTCGGGTGATTTTAGGCAAGATTTGAGTAAAAGCCTAATTAATCTTTTCAAGTTTTAGTTCAAGTTTTACGATAAATGTTAGTAATTGATCAGACACTTTGCACCTAGACCTTAATGCTGTATTAATATTTCTAGTCAAGTCATGTCAATAAATCCAAGTGAAGTTCCTTTAACATACCCATGAACACGATAGTTTCTTATGATACAACTTTTTTAACCTTGGCCTAAATTTTGAAAACTATAGAATTTTTCATGTATTCAACATAATTTGTCATGGTACCATTTTCAGATAAGGCACTGATAAATTTTTCCCACTTTCCAAGTTCTTGACAATTTTCTAATTCGTCTAAAAGGATCAGTACAGCTGACTTTTCGGAACGATTCTTCAATTCACCATATATATCGTCATGATTATCTACAAATAAACGTTTTTCATCGAAGTAAATGTTTATCCGTTTTTACAGTCATTGTTATGATACAAAATAAAAGTTGAATAACAAATTTATAACAGATGTAAAATGCAATACGTACCCATTCTAGAAATGAACAAAAGCAATAAATACGCCTTTGTTTCTCGTAGAAAAAGCAACATTCACGTAGTAAATAAAAATTGAAGCTTTTCTGTCTTCCTTTATTTTGTTTCAAAGAGAGCTAACAGATATTAATACACAATTTAAAATCGTTGACAACTGCATAATCTATAAAGTAGTTTCAACTATTAACTATTTAGTACGACATTTATAAATATATGAGAGTTAGATTTAGAAGAATATATTTCATTCTTGTTGACATTTACATTGATACATAAAAGTGGCAAAAAGTTAATGCAAAGTAGCTAAGCATTGAACCAAACAGAAATGTACTTAAGGATTCATCAACAAATCCAATACTAGAGCAACATTCACACACACACACATTTTTGTAACTTAAGAAGTAATTTTTTTTAAACATGTGCGGACGACAAACAGACATCGGTTCTGAAGGTACAAATAAACATAGTTCCCCAAAGTGCTAAAGTGTACAAAAACAAACATAGGCAGTCACGTCCATGTGCTTCTATTGAGATAAGTACTTTCCAGGGATCACATGTTTCTCGGTTTGAATAATTTTATATAAATAGAGGAATATCGTGTTAACAATAAACATATGAAATACATATAGCGGTGGTAAACCAAGTTGAATAAGTCTTATTGTCCGGGTATGTTTCTTAGAGTTGCTCTTCATTCTTTTGCAGAAAATGAAATATAAAAGATAGCTTATGGAAAAAAAGAAGCATTTCAATACAAACCTAGAAATGGTAAAGAAGGTAAAATATCATGTACAAGCAGATTCTGCACAATCAATGGCTTGAAGATTCTAACCATTTCTCTGTATTCTAAACATTTACTTTCATCCTCTGTTGTATCATCACTATAATTTGTTTTCATTTGTCCTTTTCGCCCTTTAACAAGTGCAGCATCTCTTGCTTTCTGTGATTGCTTAATTGAAATATATAATAATAATTCATTTAAAAAATTTCCTTCACGTATGCAGTTGAGCAGATTAATTTACAATTAATACGAATTGTATATTGTTGTATTTACTTAGTTAAAATGATGTTGAATACTACTGTTGTTGTATTCAAAGCAAATGCCGTTGGTCAGCAGAAATGAATCGAAGAGATAAACAATACTAAATATATTGGCCATGTACGAGAGAAATGAAAAAGCTAGAATTGTGTCCCTTACACACTTACGCTCCTACTTATCCTTATAAGTTTGCTGTCACACTAACACACTAGTTTAATATTTATTTTTTAAAAATTCAGCCTTAAATCAGGTCGAGGGACGAAATAAATAATGCTCACAAACTCACAAACCTTCACAACACGTCTTAGGCGCTGTGATCGTATCTTTGACATATTGACATTAAAATAGGAATAGGTCATTCACTAGCCTCTACTTACCTCGTCACCAAAATGTTACGACTGCAGGCCAAAGTGTTTTATAATTAAAGGTTTAAAATAAATTGTGTCGTCAAAGTGACGTTGGTTGGTTTGGAACTAGTCAAGGTTGTGTTAATTCTTTATAAACTACGCCAGAAACAAATACTGTAAAGGGATGTTGATTTTACGTATACATTTATTTGAAATGACAAAATTTGTTAAAAGCAAAAATCTCTTGGTACATAAAACCAGTGAGTTAATTGTACATATCCAAAGCATAAGAAATATAAATAATTCATTTATAAAACACTATTTCATATGCAAAACAATTATGACAGCTAACCTCTACATTGCATATATTGATTTGATTATTCTTGAAACAAGATTGCAATCATTTGTGATATACGTATAACGTTGATCATGACCTAACAATCCGATACATGTTATGATATCTGTGACATCTTTTTCAAGTTATACTATATCTTATATATAATACATCAATTTTATTATCTCTAGTTCTTGCCGTTGAATATAAAGACCTTAAATATACTTCTTACAGACGGGCTAGACAGTGAACATAAAAAATGGACTGACCTTCTGAACATATAAACAATGAAATTAGTAGTCAATCACCACAATGGAGGCAATTGGTTTTCAGCAAATCAGCAATCGGCATTTAAATACTGTGTTTGGCACGAAAGAATCTCAAATTGTTTTATTACTGCAAATTTTCATTTGTTTACCGGTATGTTTTAAGTTCATTTTGCAAGTTATACGTGAGAGCCAATACACATATTATGCACAAAATACAGCTTTATATAATTATCTTCATACAACTTTTTTATGCATGTATTACCTATTTTGTCTAAAAATAAGTCGATTTACCTTATCCAGAGTGTTGGGCTGAATAGATTCTTTCCTTGATTTTTTGCGTTTGTCTTTTTCTTTATTTTTAGTTACAAATGAATTATTCATCAAGCTTGTGTCAAGGTTTACATTCACGGTACCTGTTATATGACAATAAAAATAAAAATGATATTTCAATTGATGCTTCAGAAATTGACACATGCTGAAAAATGCAATTCTTTAACTGTATTAAATACAATAATCAGAACTGTTTAGATAACTGAAAACTAACCAGTATCAGTAAAGTTTTGTGCCGAGCCTGGTAATAAAGCTGGGATTTGAAGGTCCATGGCAACCTCATTCATACCTGCTTCTTGTAAAGCCTCTATAAACAGAACGTACCAGTTGTGATGTTTTTTGTTTTCTAGTAGTCTTTCAAGCAAAAGTTTTGCACCTGCATAATTACTACAATTTGCAGATATTTTTTCAATTTTTTTCATATCGCATCTTGCTATAAGCTCTTTACGACGAAGATGTGGAAGAACTTTACTTGGAGTAATCATTTTTCCTATTTTTGGAATAAGTTTTCTTACATATTCCTTCTGGTATTCCTGAGTAATGACCTTGTAGCCCTGAATGTTATCCACAATATAAGTATATCCTGCAAAAAGAAAATCATCTTTTAATCAATTCCAACAAAACATATGAAAATATAATTGACAAAATTAATGTTAATTTTCATAAGTTACTCTAAGATGAAAATCTTCCAGTCAATATAACCAGAAAACTGTTAGTATTTACGGACTGTTGATTTGGCTTTTTGGACAAAAAAAGGATTATTCCCCCTTGATACTCGAAGTATCCGTGGTGAAACTTACTTAAAACTTGTTTGAAGCGATGCACTTTAGTAAGCACCTTAAGTCTATTTTGGAAAATCATACATGTCTAAGCAAAATATTAAAATGTTTACCCGGAGTTTTGAAAATCCTGATAAAAAAATCCTGACCTTCCCCTGTTGAGAACTGCTTACCGACCTGATACTTATTTCTATTGGTTAAAGAATTATAAAAATTTAACTTACCATTATAAAACTATATTATATAATTCAAGTTACAAAATATAAGTGACTTTGCATAGGATATATCGGTTAAAATTCGTCATGAAATGAATAGTAACAGAAAACGCTCAAAAGGCCACAGTAGTATAGGGGTCTCTTTGGGGGCACGACTGCGCATGCGCGACGCCATATTGGATTCTATTTTTAGAATGACATCATCGTTCTATTTTAAGAATGACATTATCGTTCTATTTTTAGAATGACATTATCGTTCTATTTTTAATCTCCCGGAAGTATACGGAGCTGACTCGTATACACGATTTAGGGCTTGAATCGCGGACATTGAGGGTCAGGTCCTCGGCCCTAGACGGAGAGATAATTACCATCATGACAGATAAAAGAAATGTTTGTAAATAGATACGTACTTAACATTTTAATTTATAAAAAATAGGTTTTTAATAGGTTCAAAATAATATTGATACAAATATAACTCGTTTACTTACCTACATTTAGTAAGGAAATGACTGTCATAGTGTAACGTTCTTGTAGACTGCGCATGATCTATTTTTAGTGCGGTATTTCACAACCACCAGGAGCTATTTCATCAGCCCCACGCGGGTGTCAATGAAAGAAAAAGGCATTAAGTACAGTCGCCGCTCAGTCTAGATTCACAATACCTAGCGGCACTATGTTGAACAAAAACCCTTTATCCTTCGTTACTAAATATAACTTTTTATTAATCACAAAAGAATTTATTATCCTTTCAAACGCAGCGACCGTTAAGTACAGTCGCCACTTAGTCTAGATTTACAATACCTAGCGGAACTATGTTGAACAAAAACCCTTTATCCTTCGTTACTAAACATAGCTTTTCATTAATCACAAAAGATTAATAGAATTGACGGACCTTTTCTGTTACGGTTGATAAACCGGAGGGGATGAATTAATTGAAATATGGACCAATGAAGATGGTTTATTTTTACAACGCATCAATTATACAGATTCTGCCGAACTAAGGCGTGTTTGGTATCAAATGAAACGTCTTAAGCCGCTCTTTATGAATACGGACTAAAATCGAAATTAAAATCACTCATGCGTAAAAAACATTAAAATAACTAAAATAAGCTTACCCCAGTCTTTACTCCTTGCCTATCAAACTATTTATGACAATTTACGACAGGTTTAAACCGGTATTGCTATTTTTGATCAGCCAATGAAATTGAAAAACGATGACGTCTAACAATAGACAGCCTGGTTTTGAACCCACTCATTTTCATTAACCAATGAAAAGTGGAGAAGAATGACTGGATAAATTTTGACATAAAAAACGCCTTTTTGTCTTTTATGCAACACTTTACGATATCGATTTTCAAGATATTTGTTTCATTTAATAGACCTTACCAAATGCTTCAAAATAAACCCTAGGTTCTCGATTCGATTTTAAGCCGTTCTCGAGTTAGGGCCCTTTAACGATTTTTAAACCATTTTTTCAAAGTCCATAAAACCCTTATATTTATGTACCAATGGAAAGATCTCTGCGAGTAGATACAGAAAATGTATTATTATATGGTTCTATTTCTTACCGTTTCTGAGATAGGAGAGTTTGAATATGGCAGACAAAATCACTCATGCATATAAATACGTATAACGTTTTTGTTACTGGACATAACATAGGCATGTTGCATATCAAACGAAAAGTCTTGACAAATGCTACGAGCTCGTACTGTTAAACCGAGAGTGAAATCACTCATGCGTAAAAAACATTAAATTAACTAAAATAAGCTTACCCCAGTCTTTACTCCTCGCCTATCAAACTATTTATGACAATTTACGACAGGTTTAAACCGGTATTGCTATTTTTGATCAGCCAATGAAATTGAAAAACGATGACGTCTAACAATAGACAGCCTCGTTTTGAACCCACTCATTTTCATTAACTAATGAAAAGTGGAGAAGAATGACTGGATAAATTTTGACATAAAAAAACGCCTTTTTGTCTTTTATGCAACACTTTACGATATCGATTTTCAAGATATTTGTTTCATTTGATAGACCTTACCAAATGCTTCAAAATAAACCCTAGGTTCTCGATTCGATTTTAAGCCGTTCTCGAGTTATGGCCCTTTAGCGATTTTTAAACCAATTTTCAAAGTCCATAAAACCGTGAAATGTATATGCCGTTTGAAAGATCTCTGCGAGCAGATACAGAAAATGTATTATTATATGGATCTATCTAAAAAAAGAATGTTTTTCTGCGTAAACTTTATCACTGGAAACAGGATTTGTCTTCTATTTATCTCCTGCTCCACCACCACCACCGCCCCGCCGCCGCCGCCACCACCTCCACCGCCGCCGCCACCGCCGCCGCCGACACCGCCGCCGCCGCCACCGCCATCACCACCACAACCAGGTGGCGGCGGCGGTGACGGCGGCGGCGGCGGCGGCGGCGGTGGAGGCGGCGGCGGCGGTGGTGGTGGTGGAGCAGGAGATAAATAGAAGACAAATCCTGTTTCCAGTGATAAAGTTTACGCAGAAAAACATTCTTTTTTTATACACACGTATTAAAATCTGATTGGCTGCTATTTTTGGCATGACGTTATTCATCTATTTATGTTATAAATAGTCACGTGACCAGAATCATTGGTCAAATAAATCTTCTGTCTGATTGGTTACATTCAGTCCATAAGAAAAGAGTAACTGCTGTTAGATTGGACAATGTCATTTCTAAATCTAGATCAGCGCATGCGCATAATGTATCGCAGTGGTGACTTCAGTCATTTGGTGATTGGACGTCAAAGAGTAAACATCATTACGCAGTAATATGAGTTTATATTTCAAGTACAGTATTTTCAATGAAGAATGTTTAATAGAAATAGAGCGTTTATGCACTAGTGATTTTTAGTCCGTATTCATAAAGAGCACCTTAAAACATTTCGTACGATACCAAACATGACCGGGTTATATTGACTAAGGAAGGCGTCAATCCACATTTTACGCTTGAGTGATTTTACTTCATATCTCGTGCCCTATCCGAGTCAGCGATACAAAAATATACATTTTCTGAATTTAGTGAGTAATACCTTTCGTTCGATACAGGTATTGATAAGATCGGTCCGTTGGTTGGGGAGAATAAATGAATTTCACGCACGAGTGACTTAACATCCGGTTTGATCGCGTAAGTAAAATGTACTCGTCAAGACCTTCAATTTGATACCAAACTAGACTATGTTTCGTTCATATACGAAAAAGTTATGCGCGTTTTTCCGCATGAGTGATTTTGTCTGCCATATACAAACTCTCCTATCTCAGAAACGGTAAGAGATAGATCCATATAATAATACATTTTCTGTATCTGCTCGCAAAGATCTTTCAAACGGCATATACATTTCACGGTTTTATGGACTTTGAAAATTGGTTTAAAAATCGCTAAAGGGCCATAACTCGAGAACGGCTTAAAATCGAATCGAGAACCTAGGGTTTATTTTGAAGCATTTGGTAAGGTCTATCAAATGAAACAAATATCTTGAAAATCGATATCGTAAAGTGTTGCATAAAAGACAAAAAGGCGTTTTTTATGTCAAAATTTATCCAGTCATTCTTCTCCACTTTTCATTGGTTAATGAAAAAGAGTGGGTTCAAAACGAGGCTGTCTATTGTTAGACGTCATCGTTTTTCAATTTCATTGGCTGATCAAAAATAGCAATACCGGTTTAAACCTGTCGTAAATTGTCAATAATAGTTTGATAGGCGAGGAGTAAAGACTGGGGTAAGCTTATTTTAGTTATTTTAATGTTTTTTACGCATGAGTGATTTCACTCTCGGTTTAACAGTACGAGCTCGTAGCATTTGTCAAGACCTTTCGTTTGATATGCAACATGCCTATGTTATGTCCAGTAACAAAAACGTTATACGTATTTATATGCATGAGTGATTTTGTCTGCCATATTCAAACTCTCCTATCTCAGAAACGGTAAGAAATAGAACCATATAATAATACATTTTCTGTATCTACTCGCAGAGATCTTTCCATTGGTACATTAATATAAGGGTTTTATGGACTTTGAAAAAATGGTTTAAAAATCGCTAAAGGGCCATTACTCGAGAACGGCTTAAAATCGAATCGAGAACCTAGGGTTTATTTTGAAGCATTTGGTAAGGTCTATTAAATGAAACAAAAATCTTGAAAATCGATATCGTAAAGTGTTGCATAAAAGACAAAAAGGCGTTTTTTATGTCAAAATTTATCCAGTCATTCTTCTCCACTTTTCATTGGTTAATGAAAAAGAGTGGGTTCAAAACGAGGCTGTCTATTGTTAGACGTCATCGTTTTTCAATTTCATTGGCTGATCAAAAATAGCAATACCGGTTTAAACCTGTCGTAAATTGTCATAAATAGTTTAATAGGCAAGGAGTAAAGACTGGGGTAAGCTTATTTTAGTTATTTTAATGTTTTTTACGCATGAGTGATTTTAATTTCGATTTTAGTCCGTATTCATAAAGAGCGGCTTAAGACGTTTCATTTGATACCAAACACGCCTTAGTTCGGCAGAATCTGTATAATTGATGCGTTGTAAAAATAAACCATCTTCATTGGTCCATATTTCAATTAATTCATCCCCTCCGGTTTATCAACCGTAACAGAAAAGGTCCGTCAATTCTATTAATCTTTTGTGATTAATGAAAAGCTATATTTAGTAACGAAGGATAAAGGGTTTTTGTTCAACATAGTTCCGCTAGGTATTGTAAATCTAGACTAAGTGGCGACTGTACTTGACGGTCGCTGCGTTTGAAAGGATAATAGATTCTTTTGTGATTAATAAAAAGTTATATTTAGTAACGAAGGATAAAGGGTTTTTGTTCAACATAGTGCCGCTAGGTATTGTAAATCTAGACTAAGTGGCGACTGTACTTGACGGTTGCTGCGTTTGAAAGGATAATGAATTCTTTTGTGATTAATAAAAAGTTATATTTAGTAACGAAGGATAAAGGGTTTTTGTTCAACATAGTGCCGCTAGGTATTGTGAATCTAGACTGAGCGGCGACTGTACTTAATGCCTTTTTCTTTCATTGACACCCGCGTGGGGCTGATGAAATAGCTCCTGGTGGTTGTGAAATACCGCACTAAAAATAGATCATGCGCAGTCTACAAGAACGTTACGCTATGACAGTCATTTCCTTACTAAATGTAGGTAAGTAAACGAGTTATATTTGTATCAATATTATTTTGAACCTATTAAAAACCTATTTTTTATAAATTAAAATGTTAAGTACGTATCTATTTACAAACATTTCTTTTATCTGTCATGATGGTAATTATCTCTCCGTCTAGGGCCGAGGACCTGACCCTCAATGTCCGCGATTCAAGCCCTAAATCGTGTATACGAGTCAGCTCCGTATACTTCCGGGAGATTAAAAATAGAACGATAATGTCATTCTAAAAATAGAACGATAATGTCATTCTTAAAATAGAACGATGATGTCATTCTAAAAATAGAATCCAATATGGCGTCGCGCATGCGCAGTCGTGCCCCCAAAGAGACCCCTATACTACTGGCCACTCTTAACGGACATTGCATTAATAGGATTAGCCTTAGGTTTATTAGACACTGAATAGCAAACTTTGTTGTTGTACAGTTTTTTAGGTGCTTCGGGATACGTAAGTATTGCAGATTGCACCTTTTTATTGTCTAAAGTGAATCGACTCAATCAAAGCGAGTCTACCATTTTACTATTTTGTTATTTCGGTGCTTGCTACGGAGGGATCACATCCTTTCCAAATTCTTTTTATTTTACCCCACTCATTTCGCTCTTATAACCGGTTTTATTTCCCTTAGGCTAGGGTGGGTTAATGAAAGCAGCCATTCTTTAATTCAGCCTATTCGTGGACGGTGCCGATACCTGTAAGTCTTGACTAGAGTACAGCATAAATCATAAATACATGCCAGTAACCCTTAATGCATCAATAAATTTTTGCCATTTCCCAGGTTCTTCACTTTTCTTCAACTCGTCCAATAGGAACTGTACAGCGTTTTTAGGAGAACTATTTCTTTCTTCATATATATCGTCATGGTTCTCTGGGAAAAAAATATAAAATTATATTCAAACCAATCAGTTTATGAATGATATTTTTATACACTTTCATCAAATGAATTCATAAAAATTGTTCAATTAAGTTAATTAATTTTCTTCTTAAGAACTTGAAAGAAGATTTAAACATACCAAGAAATTGTAAAGATGGTAAGACGTCTTCAACATGCACGTTTTGAACAATCAACCTTCGAAAGATTTTCACCATTTCACTATATTCTAAACATGTACTATTCATTCCTTCTTTCGACCGTGTATTCACATCATACACTGTAACGTCTGATGCACTATTCTTCTTTCGATAAACCTCCTTGGAATAAAAAAGAAATCAGAAACAAGATTGCATTGAGAAAAATGCTATAGCACCGCATTTATACAACACTAAAAAGTAGTGTCGGAACAGATTTATTTTGTTTGTCTACAATTGAAGATTGTCATAATGCATAGATCCCTGACCTATCTAAATCTTATTATCAGATTAGTGGTTAAATCTATTGTTAATCCAATAAAAGATCAGAGTAGGAATATATCAATGCACTGGAGTCTAGTGAATTTGGTGGATAAGGTCATTTTTCACACAGCCTAAATTTCATGACTACATCAAAGGACAACACAGTAAGAAACTTTATCAAAATCTAGGTCAGCTGATATCAAAGTTCACTTTACATCTTAATCTGTGCACATGGTTCAAATTTCATAGCTGCACATAAAAGGACAAGAAAGTAGGTCACATCATCAAAATCTAGGTCACCTGATATCAAAGATCAATTTTAAAACTAATACTGTGCACATGGTCAAAATTTCATTGCTGTACATCAAAGGACAAGAAAGTAGGTCACTGTCCCCTTGGGCAAGGTAAAAGTTTGACACAAGGATTTAATTTAAAACAATCTTGATGCAGGTCCACCAAACAACATTTCAAGTCAAATATCTAAGCTGTAGCTTTCTCCCATTCAGAAAACATTTGTTTTATTTTCTGTTTTTACTATATTTACATAATTAGAATCACTGCCCCCGGGCAGGGCTAATTTTGACACCAGGGGAAAAATAACTTGGACAACTTTGGTAGAGGACTTATAGATGATATTATACATATTATGTATAGCAAACATCAAAGCTCTATGCCTTGTACCTTCAGACAAAAATATTTTTTATTTTTTTACTATATGTACATAATGAAAATCAATGACCCCCGGGGCGGAACCAATTTTGACCCTAGTGCTATAATTTAAACAATTTTGGTAGATATTCACTTCGCAAAGTCTCATGCCATATATTTAACCTCTAGCATTTGTCAATTCTGAGAAGTTTTTACTTTATACATTGATATAAGGAAAACTATCGCCTCTGGGGCAGGGCAATATTAACACTAGGGGCATAATTAAAACAACTTCAGTTCAGGACCAGTAGATGATATGTTATACCAAATATCAAAGCTCTAAGCCTTGTACTTTCAGACAAGAAGATTTATTGATTTTTTACTATATGTATATAGTGAAAATCGATGACCCCTCTAGGTGGGGCCAATTTTGGCCCCAGGGCTATAATTTGTACAATCTTGCTAGAGGATCACTGCACAATGTTTCATGCAAAATATCTTAACTCTAGCCTTTGTAAATTTTGAGAAGATGTTGTTTTTTTAAGTTTTTATAATATACATATAAGGAAAACCTATGGCCCCGGGGCGGGGCTAATTTTGACACTAGAGGCAAAGTTTGAACAACTTTGATAGAGTACCTATAGATGATATCATTTAACAAAAATTAAAGTTCTAAGCCTGAACCTGCAGACAATATGAGTTTTTTTAATTTTTACTATATGTATAAATTGAAAATCAATGACCCCGGGGCGGGGGCAATTTTGACCACAGGGCTTTAATTTGAACAATCTTGATAGGGGTTCACTACACAATGTTTCATTCAAAATTTCTATTCTCTAGCATTTGTCAATTGCTAGAAGAAAGTTTTTAATACAGACATATAAGGAAAACCAATGACCCCCGGCGCGGGGCTGATTTTGACCCCAGGGCTATAATTAAAAAAAAATCTGGGAAGAGTTCTACCAGACTATTCATTATGCAAATTATCTAAGATCTAGGCCTTTTGGGTCTTTACAAGAAGGTATTTTAAGTTTATACTTTATGTACATATAGTGAAAATCAATGACCCCCGGCGGGGCCGATTTTGACCCCAGGGCTATAATTTGAACAATCTTGGTAAGGGTCTACCAGACAATGTCTTATGCAACATATCTAAGCTCTATGCCTTTTCGGTCTTTACAAGAAGATTTTTTAATTTATTCTTATAAATCCTTTTGGTTGCCATGGCAAGCAGATTTCTGCATGGAATAAAATTCTTGAACAACTTTGGAGGCCCTTCACCCAAGGATCAATCCTGCAGGTTTGGTTGAAATGGACTAGTGGTTTTTCACAAGGACGATGTTTTAAGTTCACTATATAATCTATAGAACACACACACAAACAAACAAACACACACATACACACAGGTGAATCGCTATATGCCACCGCATCGCAGATGCTGCGGTGGCATAAAAAACAAGAACGTGTTTGTTAATTTACACCAATGCCCCCCGGCTCAGATTATTGTTCGTTACAATTTTCAAAAACATTTTCACCAATTCACTCAGTTATGGACAGAAAAATTGCCAAAAACATGACTGTAAACACAGTTATATAACTTGATAGAGTCATTGTGTTTTGTAATTGTGGAAAATATAGGTTGTCAAGTCATTGCTTTGAGTTGTGATGAAGTTGAAAAATATTCAACTTACCAATCTTTTAAATTATCAAATTTACAACTGTATATAACTGTATGATTTTGCCTTGAATCTAGTGACCCCAAACTCCATCAAAACTTAAAGAACCACCTTAGGTATGATCCTTGTGAATATGGTTTAAATTGAAAATAATCTATTGTCAGCACAAGTGGCATTGACCTTGTGACTTCTAGCACTGGACCATCCAAATTACGCTCCTTCCAATAATAAAAAAGCACCAGCTGTATAAGAAAATGTGAAGAAATCTATTTGGCATCCCTGATCTTGACCATATAACCCCATACTCAATCTATAGAAAGAAGACATCTGCCCATAAATAAAAGTTAGCAAAGGTGTAAAATTTATTTTTGACACTAGCGACCTTGACCCAACTGACCCCTAACTCCGTTCAAAAGATGCAAGCTATCATCCATTCAAATATGAAATGCAAATGTGTAGAAATATATCACTGTAAACATTGACCTAGACCCGCTGGCCACTTAATCAATCCAAAGGAAATAAAGCATGCAAGTTATCACCCTACCAAAACTAAAATACATCTGTGCATAAATAAAGGCTGTATGGGCAAAAATGTAAAAATCTATTCTTAGCACTGGTGGCAATAACCAAACTTACCCCTTATTAAATACAAAGGAAGAAGGTCATGAAATATATCATCTTACAAAATATGAACGAAAATCAGTCAAAAAATAAAGGCTGTATTGGCAAAAGTGTAAAAATCTACTTTTAGCACTGGTTATCTTGACCCACTGACCCTTCCTCAATAAAAAAAGGTCTCTCAATTTTAAGTTTCTACCAAATAGAAAAAGACATATGTAAATATGGTTACACCTGTATCATTAGCTGGTCAAACCAAGTGATGCTCCCCGAATAGGTTTTGGACACAGAAAAGTATACCTGTTGTAGTTTCAGAGTCATGTCTCGACCGAAGTTCAAAGTGTTAAAATAAAGGGCGATAACTCCAAAATAAGGCAGGGTGCCTTCTTTGCATTGCACTACTACTTATTGAGATAGTTTAACCTTCAATGTTTATTGTTGATACTTATTGTGTTTTTAGAGTTAAGTTCCGTTCAAAGTTCACAATGCCAGTTTAAAAATGGGCTAAAAGGACAATAACTCAAAAATAAAGCAAGTCAGATTTACAATTCTTTTGCACTTCACTTTAACTCAGTGAGATTTATCTGCCTACAACGTTTCTTGATGATACATCTTATTGTTTCAGAATTATGTCCCGGACAAAGGTCAAAATGTAAAAATGAACAATGAGCAATAACTAAAATTGCACAAATCAGAGTTATGGTTCTTTTGCACTGAAATTCTACTCATTAAGATTAATCTACTTGCAACATTTCTTGTTGATACCTTTTGTGGTTTCAGAGTTATATCCAGGACAATGTTTAAAGTGTAAAAATTAAAAAGGCAATTACTCCAGTATTAGACAATGCAGTGTTACGGTTACTTTGCACGGCACAACTACCTAATGAGATCTATCTATTTTCAATGTTTTTTGTTGATATCTCTTAAATTTTTAGAGATATGCCCGGGACAAAGTTCGAAGTGTAAATATGAACAAAGGGCAATAACTCAAAAATTAGGCAATACAGAGATACTGTTTTTTTCACTGGGTTTTACCCTATGTGATATATCTACCTACAAAGTTTTTTGTTGATTTCTCTTACAGTTTCAAAGTTTGTTCCGGACAAAGTTCAAATTGTAAACATGAACAAAGGGCCATAACTTTAAATGAGGCATGACAGAGTTACGGTTAATTTAGCACTGCACATGAATCCAATGAGATCTATCTACTTATAAATGTTCTTGTTGATAACTTGATATCTCTATATAGTTTCAGAGTTATGTGCCGGACAAAGTTCAAAGTATAACAATGAACAAAGATCAAAAACTCAAAACTAGCCAAGGCAGAGTTACTGATCTCTTGCACTGCATATGTTTCCAATGAGAAATATCTACATACGAAGTGTCTTGTTGATATCTCATATTGTTTTAGAGTTATGTCCCGTCATAACTGTGCTCTTGCATCTCGTATGTTAACATTGGGATATATCTACCTACAAAGTGTCTTGTTGATATCACGTATAGTTTCAGAACTATGTTCCGATGGACGGACAGACGGACAAAGCTATACACTGACGCTCTCCCTTCGGGGAGCATAAAAATTTGAAAATCATTTTTTGACATTGAAGAACTTGACCTAGACCAAATGACGTCAAAGTTTGCTCAAAGAAAGAGAAACTCCTATGGCATGTCCATGTAATGAAAGACATCAACTGAAAAAGCTGTTAAATCAAAAACGTTGATATTTTTTTACAACAGTGACATTGACCTTGTTTCTTATGACCCACTACTCCACAAACTTATACGACTATTATCACATGCCAAATATGGAAGATATCATTAAATGAATTCAGTAATAAAGAAAAATTTAAGTTAATTCAAGCTTGTCGGAATAGATTAAATATACAACAAGGCCATTTATCAAAGTAATCAAAAGGG